TGTCAAGAACACAGCAATGGCTGAATAAATTACACAAGCCCTGCCTTTTATTTATTATCGTTTCCCCTTTTCGAAGATGCCGTTTCAGCTTTTCAAAGCTAAAGAAAGTTTGGCAGGGTCTCTGAAAGTTAGTCCACAGCTCGGGCCCACATAAACATCTCAGTCCTACATTCCACCACCTACTCGATTCAATCTGCCATTATATATATTTTTGCAGGTACAGCTCGGCCCCGAGGGGGAAAACTCGTTGTGACAAACGCTGAACGGAAGGCTGCATACAGATGGAGTGTATTCATTACCACACGTCGAGATGTGTAGGAGTGGTTTGTCCGTATCTTACCATCTCATTTCCAACATGACCCAAATTAAAGCAGGAATGCTAGGTGACCTATTGCTACAGGCAACATCTTCTCATACGTAACTCTCACACCGGTCAAAAACATCTGATCTGAAGGTTATAAACTACCCGACACAATCCAGTCATTGTTTCTTTGACTCCTTCTAAAAATAACATTAACATGCGGCCAAACCAAGGGCATTCCAAGTACAGAATCCCCTCAAGTTTATCGCTTGGCGCACACAACGTCGTAAGTGGGCCGGATACAAACAAACGAACATTTGTTTAACCGAAAGCAAGATGTTTTCTTCAAGCCAACTTTCTAAACCGCCACAGAGATAATTAACGGGAACCAGCTCTGCCAAATCTTACACGAATGACCTTTGTGTGGGCAACACGGCCCTGAGTTTGAGAATCTGGCAGCGTTTGGTTTGCCGACTTGAGCGGCTAAAACTCTGAAGGCCATCCGCTTAACAAACGGCCTACAAAACGATGCTAATTAAAGGCTGCTTTGTTGCTTTGTCAGGTTTCAGCTAGTGATTAAACATCTTTTATTGAGTTGGAACAGGCAGATGCACATACAAATAGCTATGCTTCAAAAGTGGGGGAAACTTCAATACGGATTGGTTTCTGTCATTTGAAGGGGAAATACTTCAATTGTGCTTGTAATAGCGGGATACTTAGATGTCTGTGTTGGGATTCCATTTAATTAAATATCTGTGGATAATTTGGTCTGGGAATGTCATTATGTCCTTGGAATGGAGGACATGTTTTCCCTCTCATGCTCATTTTACTAATGCACAGGCTTTTATATAAGTACATCTCAGTCTTGTAACGAATTAATGTGGCAATGAAGGATCATGGATGGAAGTGTAATTGGACAACCGATCTCCCTTGACGTTTAATGGCCTCTGAAGACAGTGGCCGCGGGATGAGATAGCTGGGAGGAGAGCTTTTCTGTGGGCTTGTGTAGGTCTGGCGCATGAAGTACTGTCCGTCTGAGAACAATCGGAAATGTAATTAAGAGCTGGCTGTGGCTTTTAAACGCTCGACTAGAGCGGAATCATACAGGCGGGGAAGAAGAAACATCCATGTATTGAAAATGTGCGGTGTGATCAATAGCCCACAGTTCGGAAAGCATCAAAGGGGGAATAGAGTTTTGCGACTAGCAATTTCTTGTAGAACTGCAGGTTTTCAAAGCAATTTCTAATGTCATTAAACTTCTATTAAAAAGCAGTTAGAAGCCTCTATTTCTCTATGAGTCAGATGTATACAGTTTAAGTAAAATTTTACGAGTTTCTGATCTCTTGGTAAGGAGTAAGGTTAATCAAAACATCAATCAGACATAATTACCCAGCATGGACAGCGTTTCAAGGCGATAATAACTATTGTCTTGTAGCAGCAGGGGAATAAAATTAATCTCAAAGCCCGGATTTTCAACACAAGCCTTTTCTCAAGCCCTCAGACAGAACATCCTACGAAGCAGGTGATTGGGCAATTATTGTGCAAATCGAGCCTAGACTCAACAGAGCCATTTCTTCAAATGTTGTAATCTCAACAAAAATACTGGGGGAAAAAATTGTTTAACAAAGTTTTTTTTGTTACAAAGATAGGTTGGGATGCTAATTAAATGTTTTTATTGTAAACATAATATTGATAAAAATGTGATAAGAAAAAAAATTGCAAGAATATCAGTGTACCAATGTTTTTGGGAAGAAAATTATAGCCAAATCATAATCAATCATGTACGGAATTGACCCAAATTGAACCAGTGAATGAATACTGGTGAACTGAAGTGTTTTACTGGCATACTAGCAGATTAATATGAATTGGTTAATCGCAATTAATCATTTGACAGCACTAATATATATATATATATATTAGTATATTAATATATATATA